TGTCATTACTAGCAATAATAGCAATTAATATTAAGAGTTATAGAAACTATAGTAGTATTTGATTTTTTAATTAGCTATACAAGATGGCCTCTGAAAGAAACAAGCTTTTAAGAAGCACTTTTCTTGCTAAAATTGGGGCGAATTATCGTCCAGACCAATTAATTTTTATAGACGAAGCTGCAAAGGATAATCGTAGTCTAAATAGACATTATGGCTATACGTCTATAAATGTTCGTACGCGCAAAAAGACTGTTTTTATTCGTGGCAAAAGGTATACAATCCTACCTGCTCTTTCACTTGATGGTTTTCTAGCAGTCGATGTTATGGAAGGAAGTTGTAATAAAGAGCAGTTCTGTGAATTTATTTTAACCCAAGTGATAAGTTAAGGGATTCTGGTGTTAAACAGTCATGTGATTAAAATTAATAATATTAGTACGTAATAGTTGGATGCCTAATTTAAAATATATATATTTAATAATAGGTTCCAATGATAAATGCCTTCCCGGAAAGAAATAGCGTTGTTGTTCTTGATAACGCAACAATTCATCAAAATGTAAATTTTGTTGAAATAGTGAAAGAACTGGGGGCCATGTGATTTTCTTACCACCCTATTCTCTGAACTTTAACCCAATTGAAACAGCTTTTAGTATTATAAAAAGCTGGGTCTGGAGGGATAGGGATTTTATAAATGTCACTACAGACCTATTTTATGCCGAGTAGCATGCACACAAATCACACCGAAATTGTAGCAAATTTTTTTTGTGAATTGGGTTATTTAGAGTAAGTTTTTTTATTATCGTTATATCAAAATTATTGCATTTGGTTATATTGGCTAATTTTTATTTGTTCTCATTATTGATCAGGCTATAAAATTAAGGTTATTACCTAATATGCAGGGCATATTTGCATGATACAATCCAAAATAAAAAATAGAAAATTTCTTATAGGGTATGGTACCCGGCCCTATATAGTTATTAGGGTTGGTGTTTGGGGTTAGAATTAAAAATACTAAATATTTTTACTTAGGAGCATTATATTGGTTTTCTTAATAAAATTTTGAGATATTAAAGACTTTTGTGGGTTTTTTTTCTTAAACTATAACAATAATGATAACGATTATGCAACAATATTTGCTTTTATTTATTTTATTTAATATAAAACACATAACAGATTAATTAATTATTATGTGATGCTCTAAGTAAAATTGTTCTATATCTCCAAACTCTTTCGAAACCCTCATTCTAGCACAAATATTAACCCTACATGAAAATTTGTGCTAAAATTTAATTACAAAATTTATAAAATTCTAGAAAAATATATAAAACATTATAATATATATAGATATATATATATAATTTACTGCATTAATATTTGCTTACAGCTTGTTTAATATTTATTAGCCATCCACGTTTTGTAGCCCCTAGTTCTTCCTTTAGATATTATCTTTAATACCGTTTACAGTTAGTTTTTCTCTTGCAAATGCTGCTTCCAATTTTAAATAATCATCGTTACTATCATTATAAGCTTTATTTAGTTGTTCAAAAAACTCATGAAGAGTTGGAACTGAATCAGAAATTGAAGATGTTGGTTGTAAAATATTTAATTGTTTATTGGCTTTAATAGCATAAGCTATTCTAAATGCAGGGTAGGGAGGTGGGACTTCTACTGTTGCTCCTCCAGCATTTTGTAATATATATATCAATATATATTTATTAATATAATATATATTTATTACATGTATTTACATGTATTGTATGTACTATTATGTGATGTTCTATAGAATAGATGAGCAATATAAGAAATAAGCTTTGCCGATAATTAGTAATCGTTAATTTTTTAAGATATTCACGTGATATTTGGTGGAGTTTAGCACCTATTCTATAGAACATCCAAGTTTCCAAATTTAAACTTTTATTATCAAATTTTCTGATTTATCATCTTATAAATGTTAATACCAACCACATCCTATGCCCATAAATGTAAAAGCGGATGCATTAATTGGAGATAGTTTTGGTCTTCGATATAACAAGCCGCATTATGGGTATTATATTCATATTTTGATCTAATCTGTAAAATAATTTTGGCTAATTTGATTTCATCTGAAGAAAGACTCGACTTTTTTGGTATATAGTTTGCCTTTATTTTTTTATTTTTTTGGTTTTTTTTCTTTGTTAGAATCGCTATCTTCAACAGATTTCTATAAATATGTAATTAATATTATATTAATATAAAATAGGCAGCAGAATTCATGTTTCAGTAATGCTGAAAGAGGTTTTGAACTATCTCTATATAAATTATTATAATATAAATTATATACCTCAGCTTTTCACTTATTAGATTTTAATGTAATATATATCACCATTATTTTATTTGAACTTAGATTTTTAATCTCAGTAATGAATGAATCGAAATTATGTTCATCGTCTAATGCCATCGGCTAGCCACGCCCATTTATCTTGTATGAAATTTCAAGATCATAGTTATCGATTTTCTTATTTTTAAGATGCTCACAAGTATGTTTAGTAAGATCATAATGAAATGTATTAAATGTATCTGAATAAAACATAAACTATTTTTCTGCTAATGGTGTAGAATTATTGACCTTAATAATGACTTTTACTTTTAATTCTGAACTTTCATTATTTGGTTGGTCAGTTGAAGAATCAAAATTGTCATTTAGTAAATCAGGGGTTGTTGAATAATCATCATCATGGTCGTTATTGGTTGGAGAATATTCTGTATCATCTGGATCTCCTTTGGAACGTGTAAAACAGCTATAACAAGTATTACAAAAGCATATATTAAATTTTTTTTTAAAGTTGCAATCATGACACCAAAGTCTATTATATTTTCTAAGAAATAATTCTTGATTTAAAGGTGTTGTTTTAGATTATAAACTCGACTGTAAAGGTTATGAATTTCATTGCAGGAAGGTTTTTTCGTTGTATAACATTCACAGAGATTTTCAGCTTCAACAAGACAAAAAGACATTTTTGACACGAAAAACATGTTCCAATTTTGTATAAAGATGACAACATTTTAACCATACATATGATAAGTGATTATATTCAGGTTAAATACCTTTTAAAATTCATCATAGATATCATGATATTTATATAATATACAAATATGACAAATACAAACAAAGGTCTACATATTAACACCTTTATTTTTAATATTAATACTGACGAATGTTACAAACTATGCATACAAATACACAAAACCAAATCACTGACAATAATGTATATATGTATATTAAAGTGTTAAGGAATTGTTAAATTCCTGAAATTGATGATTAGAAGTTTATAAGCGCTCTTAATTACCTGTTAGACATTTATGTATATGCATAAATACAATTATAATTAGATTTTAAGAACTAAAACTCAATAACGGGTTCCTTTTGGCTGTCTTACTACTGGGAGGTTATCTCATTATTTCAACTTTACTTGAGACAATTGTAATAGAATTTAGTTATCAATTATGTAGAGATCATAATAACAATAGTGAATTTTGTATGCAGAATGAACATATCATTACCTCGCACTATATCCCAATACAACTCCCTGAACAAAGTGTTGTTGTACCCAATTAATGACAATAAATGTGTATTTAATATATCAGATATTTTCTCTGTGATGTTAAGTAGTTCGTCTGGTCTGGTCTTAAAAAGTCAGGACTCAGTGTTGTAGTCTGAAAGAGACTTCTGATTCCTTTTGCCGAACTTTAGCTCTAGACCACAAGTCCAGACTGTATGATTTTACAGTCAGTTATATATTTAATTAGATTTAAGAGATGCATAGTAATTTAAAGTTTGTCATGTAATTTTTAAGGTTTGGCAAATATGGTATTATATATGCAATCAATATTACAGGTCTACGTATACTAGTTATTACAGGTTTTATAGTCAATAGATGTGATCAATTTATTAATCGTATTGCCCTTTTCTTATAACAAGAAGAGAGTTTCATTTGCAAGATATTTTATGATAGCTACAAACCCAGACTGTAAGATTTCACAGTTATATATTTATATCAATTAAAAGATGCTTAGTAATTTAAAGTGTGTACCCTCTACCAGTTTTAAGAGCTGGACGGTGAATACCCAGAGTATATAAGTATGGTATATATAGCACAATATATGAGTGCTGCCAAGGGAAAATATCACTTCAGACTTTCAATTGCATTTTGACCAGACACAATCTTTAATAAATTAAATAGAATGTGTCTGATCAAAATGTAATTGAAAGTCCGAAGGGACATTTTCCCTTGGCAGCACTCATATGATTGAGGTATATAAATACCCAGGGTACCTACATCCGATAATGATAAATATGGTAATTTTTAAGGTTTGGCAAATATGGGCATTATGCAGGCAATTATATTATAGGTTTATACTGGTTATTACAGGTTTTATAGTGATCAATTTATTAATCGTGTTGCCCTTTTCTTATAACAAGAGAGTTTCATTTGTAAGATATTTTATGATAGCTACAAACTCAAACTGTATGATTTCACGGTCAGTTATATATTTTATCAATTAAGAGATGCTTAGTAATTTAAAGAGTTATATATTTTATCAATTAAGAGATGCTTAGTAATTTAAAGTTTGTCATGTAATTTGTAAGGTTTGAAATATAAGTATTATGCAGGCAATCAATATTACGGGTCTATACTAATTATCACAGGTTTTATGTTTAATAGTTAATAGATTCTATTACAGTAATCAATTTTATTAATCATGTTACCCTTCTCTTATTACAAAAAGATAGCTAAATATATAGCTAGAACCCCATCCCTTCAACGAACACTGTCTCTTTATATATCTTTCCTCTTTCTAGTTAATGATTCCTACAACACGAAAGAATATTTACAAGAGCCGCTTTCAAATAGAATTATTAATATGAGAGAACAAAAAGTTTAAATCAAAAATAATTAAATTAACATAACCTATCACTACTTGAGCAAAATGAAATCAACAAAGCTATTTTAAGAGCTTTATATTTAATTGATGTAATGCATACATTATTGGCCTTTAAAATGCAAAAACTATTAAAAATAAAAAATCTAATTAGTTTTGATTTTTGCATTTATAACACCCAAATTAATTTAATTAAGTTTGCAATGCTAGTGACGCCAAGGGAAAACATGCCTCTGATCATATAATCAGAGTCAGGTTTTCCTTTGGCGTCACCTAAAAACTGTACGTACGTGCCTACCCATTGTTGACGAATGTCAATCCTTCCAATGCTATGAATATCAGTAAATTATTATTGAATTCTAATGTTAAGAATTTAATATTTTTGGAAACTCAAGCGAATGAATCAAGAAAATAATATACAGTAAGACCTCCCTAAGTGCACCCCTCTCGGGACCATAGTCAAAAAAAGCAAAATGTGTACTTAAAAAAAGAGTGCATTTATAGAGAGTAAAATATATAATACTCTTATAAGTTGGGGCCAAGTTATACCATGCATTTAGAGAGAATTTACATAGTATGTGCACTTATAGAGCGTGCAATTAGAGAGGTCTTACTGTATGTGTTAATTTATTAAGAAAATGTCTTTTTACATTTACACTTTAATAATTTAACAAAGACATTTTTAAAATATTTGTCAGATGCATATTTTAAGATCACCAATGATAACTTACTAATAAATAATACTTACTGGCTAATATTCTTTGAGGATTGAACTTTACAGGAATTGACGCTGAATTCATGTATGGGTTGAATAGCTGCTTCTTTATTATGAATATTACATACCAAGAGAAGAGCTATTAATAAGCAGTTTTGGCCGACCAGAATTTGCACCTCCAGAATCTGCACCTTCAAATTTTTTTCTTTTCAGTGGCAACAGTTTTTTTCGCCAATGTTTATTTTATTTCCACTTGCTTCACATGTTTGACATCAAGCCTAAAAGAGTTATAACTACAATGTGAGCACTTTCCGTTATTATAACTTCTTTTGGAATGAAATTTTTCAAATACCAACATATACTTGTTAGAAATTGCTTTTTAATTCTTCTTTTGTTGCTTTTATGCACAAGTTCTTCGATCCAAGTAGTAATTAACGCATTAATATATGTAGCAGTAGGTCTTTTTCTGGATCTAATTCTATACATTGTTTAGCTAATTCAATGTAACATTCAGGTGTTCCAAATGCGAATTCTGATCAAAATCCTCTACAAATCTTTAGTAGCTATATCATGAGTTAGTCTATATACCTTAAACTTATTAAATAGATAAATATATTTATTATATAAAATAGAGATACCCAATAATAAAATAAATATAAAATTTAGAAGTTCTCTTACCTCTTCCAACAAGCCACTAAATCCTGATAATTATGCAGTGTTAAGGTTAATTACACATGGCGAAGTACGTTTTGAGAAATCTTGTAGTAATCATTAAAGGGCGTATAAAATAAATAAAAGCCATTAGTATTATTATATTCATACAAACTTACAAGTTCAGTTTCTCCAGCTTGTAGTGCAGAAAAAGCTAATGTTCGTACATGCGTACAAATTAAATCTGCATAACTCAACAGTCATATAGTACGTACGTACGTACGGTCATCAAGAGAAAACCCGTAATGTTTAAAAATAGATTAGTACGAAAAATAATTTATTTTTAGATGTGTAATTTTTTTTTGGTAACAATGCTACATAAATCAAACATCAATCTTCAATCGATGTTCTAAGGTAATCTGGCGTACAAGTATACGCTGTATACCCATATACTCGAATTTTTTTTTTTAACCGTTTTCAACTATTTAAAAACTGCAATAAATAAGAGTTATTTTAATTATAAATTTATACATATTTAGTGAAGGGTATTATAGTACACATATTATTTTTTGTTATTTGAACATGTTTTGGTATTTTTAATTTTTCGCTACTTTTGATTGTTTGTATTAATTATTCAATAATTAAATATTCATATTATTGGTAAAAAAAATTTTTCAAATAAAAATTTTATGGTGTTAGTTTGAGTCAATATTTTGCTATTAGGTTAGGTAGAAGATATCATATTAAAGTTTTATGATAAAATTTTTTGATTAGTGTGTAGAAGATAGTTCATAGATTGGATCTAGAATTATAAGCAATTTAATATTTTTTATTTTTTTTATATAGTCAGACCTCCCTATAATCACATCCCATAATGTTCTAAAAAGATTCTGAAAATGTATTTCTAAAAATAATAGCAAATTCAGATAATTTTATGTCAACATTCAGGTCATGTTATGATTTATTTATATACAGTCTTCCTCCTCTATAATCACACAGTTTGTATCAAGAAAATTGGTGATTATAAAAGAGTGTAATTATATAGAAGTCTTTTTTTATAAGTTTTTTAATAAATTGTCTCAAAAATTAATGTGATTATATGGGAGTTGTGATTATATAGGATGTGATTATAGAGGAGGAAGACTGTATATAATGGTGTTGATAATTGGATTGTTTTTGATGATTATTTTACATATAGATTAGGAAGACTTTCTCTTTATTAGCAATAGACCAATCAATAATAAAAGATTCCAAACATGCACTCTAAATATAATATCAGGTTCGAATAATTTCATGTTAAAATTCAGATCATGTCATGATTGATACATGAAATGGTACTGATAATTGGATAATTTAATGATTATTTTTTATATAGATTACAATAAAGGATCATTTTATGATTATCTTGCATATGAATCAGTAAGATTTTTTATTAGTAATCAGATTATTTTAATAGTTTCATAATTCTGTAATTAGATAATTTCATACATTGTTTCACTAATAACCAGATCCTTTTCATAAAACAAGAACAATATTCATATCATATTATATCATATTGTATCATATTGTATCATATTGTATCATATTGTATCATATTGTATCATATTGTATCATATTCAGCATATATCATTCACATAAATGGAGGGTGTAAAAATTTTCACTTTGGGTTTTGTGATTGTTGATTACTGCAAAATAGCAACGTAGCGTAATTAGCAATTTTTTAGTAAACAAAATATAGTAAGAGTAGCCATGCCAAACTTACAACATAATCGTATTACTTTACATATCTGAAAGACAATCAGATTCATTAATAATTGCTTCGCATATAAATTAAACCGGATTATAAAATTTTGCACAATAATAGATATCAATTAGAGATACCAGAAAATGCAATTTGAAATGCATTTTGGTGTAATGTGATAAATTCAAATTGTGTGATAATTATATAAGGAACCTTATTCATATTTTTATTGTTATAAAATGTCGTTATTACTATATTATGTGATAATTATGAATTAAAAACATTTTAATAAAAAAATACAGCATTAGAAAAAATACTATGTCAAAAGAAAAACACTGCTAGAAAAAAAATACAGCACTAGAAAAAAAAACAAATGCTTACCAGGAAAAAAAATACAGCGCCAAGAAAAAAATGCAGTAGCAGAAAAAAAAAATATTTATCTTGTAAATTTAAGTAGTCCTATTAAAATAAAGCAAGTTTAACATTGATAAAGAATTTTGCAAAAGATTATGCCGCTTATCACTTAAAATATTTTTATAGTTGCTAAAACTTTGTTCCACATCAATGCCAGAAATAGGTAACCAAATAAAAAATAAAGCGACTTTTGAAAGATAAGGTAAATTGTTAGATTTTTCTTTCCAGTATTTATCCAAGTTTAAGCTTCACCTAATTCTTCATCTAATTTACAATAAATATTCCATTCATTTAATAAATCATCGTTTAAAATTTTAAATGTCTCTATTATGTTATAAAGTTTAATATCTTGTTGTGAGGTTGAATAACGAATAAATTGAGGATCAAAGCATCGTATTGCTTTAAAAAGTAATAATGTGGAATGATTATCAACATGTTTTGTAAGTTTATCAAATGATAATGAAAAGCTTGTGAAAAAATTGACTTGAAAAACATTAAATTTAAATTTCTTTCTTGAATCTTGTTATGCATAAATGTATTAAACGGAGGATTTTTAATACCTGCCTGTAGCATAGCACGAGTTTGACTAATTCGAGAAAAAACATAAGGTGTTACAGGCTTATTTCATATTTTAAAAAACTCCAAGTCTTGAATTAATCTAATAAATATATTTAGTTTATTAGTATATATATATATAATTATATTTAATATACGTAATATACTTATCGTTGAGCATTTAAAGTAATAAATTTGATAATCATTTCTACTACTGAAATATTTTCATGATTCAAAAAAATTTCAGCTAATTCTTTAATCGATTTTGGAGGATCGTGAAGTGTGTTTTCTATAACAAAAAATTGAACCAAATATAAAAAATATGACTTCATCTAAATAACAAAATTAAACCAGCTATTCCAACAGGTTTTTACAAATAATAGAGGTAATTGTATACTAAGTTCAGAAGATTCTAACGATGATTCTAATGATAAATTAGAATTTAATGAATTAATATTCAAAGAAAGAAAATTCAACCATCTTCTTTTTTGAATTAGAGAATAAAAAAAGGTCTCTTTGATATTTGTAGTTATATGGCCAAGGAGTTTAATATAATCAAAATAAATCTAAGAATCTCCAACCAAACTTAGAATGTGGGCAAAACAACAATTGTGCTTAAGTTGAGGCATTAACTCGACTAATAAATCTGAATAGGCTTTTTTCATATATGCTGTGTTATCACTAATAAATAAAATGACTTTAGAATAGGGGATATTATAAAAATTTAAAGCTGACAAAATTAACTGTGCAATTGTCAAATGATTAACACAATCTAGATATTCTGTTTTTACTAATTTGGTTTGATCTTGAAAGCTAAACAGAACATTTACAACACTACACCCACAAACATCAGTTGTTTTATCAATCGTAATTGAAATATATTGATCAACTAAAATATTCTTTAATTCATCTACTTTGCTTTGAAAAATTTGAGGAAGATAATATTTGTGCATTCGATTTGCATCAACAACTTTATCATCTATGGTATAATTAAAAATTATATTTAATTAAAAGGTTTAAGTTATCATATACTGTATTAATTAATTTAACTTCAATACAATATTCTTTAAAAAAATTCTGTAATTTATTAATTTTTTCTAGTGGAATGTCAGCTTCTACAAATGCTTTGGCTAATGCTATATTAATATCTTGTTTGTTTATATCCGGTTAATTCATATTATCTGACAATTCTATAAGACGTTTTCTTTTTTAATGTGATAATGAATTAAGGTAGTTGTCAATTACAGATTTTTTAGCATGATTGACAAGACATCTGCAAGCGATACAGAACATTTGATCATTTGATTCATAAAAATGATCTTTATAGATGTCAGAATTTACATGTTCTAAAGCTGTGAACTTGGTTTTTCCCATCGTTAAAATTAAACAGAAAATTATAACGTTCAAAGTACTTAAATTGATATCATAACAATTACATAATGTTCAAAATACTTTATTCAATTAGATTTCATATCAATATCATAACAATTATAACAATTACAACAAAAGAAGTCATGATATAATAAATCACTATTGTGATAATTACAAATGATGCAATTATTATGCATTTAAAGTGCACTACATAATGCGACATAAAAAATCTAAATTTAGTAAAATTTAGTAAAAATTCATCGCATTTTATGTGTCTATTATGTGACTGCATATGTCTGGTGTCTTTATATCGATATTTCAGAATACAAAAATTATATATGCATGTTAAAGCAATTTGCAAAAATATAATTTTGCATTTACCTATTTGGGTTCTTTGTTTTGGCCTGTTTCTTAAAAACCTTTTCAGTATTTACTCTGAATGGTCTTTTTTTCTTATATATTAAACAAAAATATAATTAAAATTAAATCCATTAAGGTGAAATATGAGATATTATAGAAAATTGAATGCTACAAAATGTTTTTCTTTCTGTATTATATACAAATTTTTTAATACTTACTAGTATTATTTCCATTCTGCTCTACTGGAGATAATAGTAAATTTGAGGATTGAGCATTAATACTGTCATCAACTTCAATTTCATCAGAACTTGTTGCTAGTAATCGAGTTGTAATTCTTGAAGATTTTGAAGATCTCATTTGATGGATAGTGGCAGATAATTTGAACTTGTCATTATTGTTATTACTTTAGACCTATCAATTTCAATTGCATTAGAACTTATTGCAGATGATCTAGTTAGAATTTTTGAAGATTTTGAAGATCTCATTGTGTGAGGTAATTCAAATGCATTGTTGTCACTGTTAACTTCGGAACTGTCATCACAATTATATTAAACCTTGCTGTCGGTGTTTGGATAGGAATTCTTAAAGATTTTAAGGAGTTGCAAGATGTAATAGTGGATGATTCTGACTCATCAATATTAGTGTAAGAGGTAAAACTATTGTGCCTTGAAGGTGAATCATTTTCATTAGATGAAATTGATTGAGTATCAATTTCATCATCATTGTCGCCTATAGCAGAATTTGTCACTATTGATTGAGGTGGTATCATTTTCTTGAATCTTGAAGAAGGAATAATGTTATTGCATTTAGGAGAAGGGGCAATATCTTGGATGTGGGCTTCTTTTATCTTGTTTTTGCGATCAGTCTTCACTGCCAATTAGTATAATATTTATAAAAAAAAATTTTTTTTTACTGATCATTTTCAACCAATTTGAAAATGGCAATAAATAGAAATATGAATTTTTACCCCAATTTCTAACAATATTTTCACATATTTTCTGTAAAACAAAGTCTCCAACTGAAATAGAAAATGTTAGAAAATCATGTTTAAACTATGTATTATAATTATTAGCATTAGTTTTTACATAACAAATATTATTTAATAGAAATATGCATGTATATACATTGTTAATAATTTTCGAATTATGTCTGGTAATTGCTCTGATGCATATTTGCCTTTGTGGCAACTTGCTGCTAACCTGTCACACAAGTTCCTCTAAATACAATAAATTTAATTTTAATAATTATTGTTTTTTATAAAAATAATAATATATAATTATATATACATATATATGTACATGCTTATGTAATTACTTACCTGATAGGACCAGTAAGTATTATAAAAAAAGCATAAAAGTCCTTCTAATCTTCTTTAGGTTTTTTAGCCTTCTTCTATTGTTTCTACTCTTCCTTGGTAATGGGATTTTGCGCTGACCCATGTGGAAACTAAATTATATAATTTTTTTAGAATCTAATAAAACTTCAAAATATAGTGCCTAATAAAGTACTTACTAACATATTGACAACACCTACAATAGCACTTGATAGTGCTGGAAGAGTTTGCATTAGTTCAGAAGAAGTCGGCACTATAGACTCAGAAGAAGTCGATACCATAGTAGGTTGGGAGTTTTGAGTAACTGCTGCAAGTGTTTGTTGTAAAAGGGTTGGGTTTAATAACAATTAAAGAAATAATGTGATGTTTTGGTTTGCTTCCGTGTTTGTATTATTGTTATTGTCTTTATTGCTAGAAGGATTATAAAAAAAAATTAAAAGTTTTATTTTTAAGAAAAAATTAAATATTTATTTATATATAAAGAGATTTTTTATTTTTAATCAATGGTAATTAAGAAGTGATGGTATAATTTATACTTACATATTTATATAAGATACTGCTTTATTAATTTATACTAGTTGCTTGTTTTTACAATAATTTAAATTGTAATAGGAAAACAAGTTTTATGCACTTATACATTTTATCAAAATGCATCTAATAATGTTAGAAAATATGTAGGCATCTCTACTTGTACAAGGCATCAGTGACAAGAAAAAGAATTTCAGGATATATCTACACCTACTTCACTAATTAACATGCAACATTTAAACATATTTAATCATGACAATATACAACATCATAATGAATTTGAAGTCAAAAATCCTATCTTTATTTCTTCACCTTCTACATTAATAAACCCTTTTGCTGAAGTTTCGAATTTGTCAGAAAGTGCATTTGATCACAAAAAAAGTATAAAAAATCGATTTGAGTCAATGTTTGAACTATTTAAAAAAATAGTATTGGATTAATGCAACTACTTTGTAAATAGTGTCGAATTAATATAACTACTTCGTATTAATTATCATTATATTGTGATTCATTATAATCATCAATTTTTGGCTTAGCGTGACAATATTATATAACTGATTTACTATATACTTATGAGAACACAATTATTTTCTTACTTGTTCTCAAAAAATTTTTAATAAAGGACAATAAGAATTCAAATTAAACACAAATTTATAATAGTGTTCTTATGAATACTCTGAGGACACTAATTTTGACTGGATCATTTTGATAAAGGAATAGATTAACAGGAATTTTTATTTTTATTTTTTTTAGATTTTAAACCAGAAAAACCAGAATCTGAACTAGAAGAAAATATTAACGATGAATTAGAAGGATGTGGTGACAGTGAATTAGAAGGATGTGGTAATAGTGAATTAGAAGGATGTGGTAACAGTGAATTTGAAGGAAGTGATAGCGATGAAATAGAAAGAAGTGACAATGATGAACTAGAAGAAAGTGAAGACAACAAATTAGAAGGAAACGATGATGAACTAGAAGGAAGTGATGATGATGAACTAGAAAAAAGTGGTGACAATGGTTTAGAAGAAAGTGCTGACGATGAGCATGACAATGATGAACCTATTTCTGTAGGCATTAGTAAGAAATACTATTTTACTAATTATTATACCAATATCTATTTCACTAGCAGAACAGAAGGATATATATGTTTAAATGAATTATAATTAGTTTTATTTCTGGAAAGATACTAATAAGCTGCAATAAAAATAACTTGAGCAAATAATAGCTCTAATTCATCTTGTTGAGGTTGTTGAATAATTGAAATATAGTCAAAAACTTTTTCATCATTATATGATTTGAGTGACAGAGAGGGAAAACCTGTAAGTAAATATTTAAGTTATTACTTTGGCAAAGATAATCTCCTGAAGAATTATGATCTTACATAATTGTTCTGGTCATTTCTGTAACATGAAATAAGATATGAACATATGTATATACATTGTACCACAAAAATATAAGTGACACATATCTATGGAAATGACCAGAACAATGATCTCATATGTGATTAATTATGTAAGATTACAAATTCATTCAGTGGCAACTTTGCCAGAGTGATAACTTAAATATTTACTTACAGGTTTTCCCTCTGTCACTCATTTTAGGATAGATTTTTTGAACTATTACACTGAAAATCATCTCCAAAATATTGTTTCAATATTTTATTTGGTACAATTTTACAATTATTATGTAAATGTGTATCACATCGGCCTGCAGCTTCACTCGCCCTATAAAAAATTTATCCGAAAATTTCCATTATTTCTCTGTGGTCTCCGTAAAAATTCCATGAAAATGATACATTTACGGATATCAGTGTTAGGAAGATGTAAATTTCCATTATTTAAGGTTATAAATTCCATGAAAATGAAACATTCATGGAAAAAACATGTAATAATAAACACGATTAACATTTTTTATAGGGTCAATTCATGATTACATTAATTATAACAAGAACATTTTTGGAAAATCTACAATTCCTAATCGACTAAAATGTCCCAAATTTGCTTTTTTGGTGACATTGTTGTTTTCATTACACTTTAGAAATTCGAAGCAAAATAAACTTTATTTATATCCTACAATAATGATAACATGAAGTAATAGGAAAAATTTAATTAATAAGCTGATTCGATACATATTAGTAAGCTGATTTGATATAAT